GAATAATTTTACCTGCAGATTAAGTTGCGTGTTATCAGATAATGATTGAATCATCCGTCTTTCTTTGCATCCTTGATATAGAGAGTCAGTAGGTTATAGGCTGGGCATCCTTCAGCTGTGGGACACCAGCCAATGTGTGAGGGCTTCTGTAGCACCCAGCACTTTTCCTTGTACTGGCCATTGAAAACAATTGCAGATAACATTTTTTGAAAGGTAATAAAAAGCCAGATCATTGCCAAACAACAGCCTATGGTTTTGAGATTACATTTCGGCTAATGTATTTCCCTCCTTTGGTCGTATGCAGCCAAAGGTTGCTCCAATGTGATTTGTCATTAGTTCTTGTGCTACAAGACAGGAAGTGGAGAATTTGCAGTACTAAAAATTGACCTCCTTGTTGACAGGTTCTTCATGTTCAAGTAGTGAATTTGTTTATAGAGATTAGTCGGTCATTCTGGTGCATTAGTGTGGTGACATTTAACTTCAGCTACTCTAATAGCTACTGTAGTAACTCGCAGTTCTGTACCAAAGATGCCAAAGATTCTGTGCTGATGTTCTTTAAGTGAGCACTGCTGAAAGTTACAGGGTCTTTTTCTGGTTGAAAGGGTAGCGTCATCGAGAAGGAAATGTGCTAAATTATTGCAGATTTCCACGACAAACCCCTTAAACTCCAAGTTAAGTTTAATTTGAATTATAGCAGGATTAAACCATGGTGACCGGTAACCTTTTGCAGCATATGCAGTATGCCATATTAAAGCATTCTTGGGAAAAAATGCAACATTTTTGATGAACTGAAGACAGTTGAGGCCAAAATAATTAAAGTAGCCAACATTTCCTCTCAAGCAGTGAAACTGTGCAGTTCAGAAAGACAGGTATCGATTCTGATTTGATGTTTCTTAATTAAAAGTCACAGCCAAGCCAAGTTTTTGCTGTCACAACTTACTTTATCAATTTGTTTTTGTTGTTTTTGTTGGACCCCTCTGAACTTAACCAGCTAATCGATCGCGATCAACATTTTTCCTCGTTAATATCCTCTTAGGGTGTGTTTGTGAGTCTCGATCCGGTGAGCAGTTTGATACATTAGTTTCTACCTCTGTGTGAAATCTGTTGAATGGATGAGGGTGGGAGTTTCATCATCACTGCCTGATAACTGCTCCATCGCGCAGAAATCAATAAGTATTTATCTGTAATGAAATTAGCAATCGCTCTCTGTCCTCCCTCTCACTTTTTCTCGTCCTTCTTATTCACAAAGAAGCACAACAAACAGCAAAGAGTGTTGCTCAACGGTAAGATTGGCGAATTCTCCTTCTGTTTATGGATGATTGTGTGGAATTTAGTCAATAGCATCAAAACAGACTTAATGCATGGAATACATGTTGTCTACTGGTCAATATGCTTATATAGCTGTACTTAATAGTAAATGGATTTCACTTAAATGCTCCTTTAGTCACGACTTAAACCTCAGGCCTGACTCATTATGTGCATGTGAATGATACAAAAGCACACTTTGTAATTAGAATCCTGCTATTTAAGTGTCACTAATAGGACTATTAACGCTCTGCGACAAATTTATTAGGGTTCTGTAGTTTTAGACAGTACTTTAG